TGTGAAGTTTGCATTTAAATAATGGAATAGTCAGTCAATGCAATTGTTAAATCTATTATAGCATTTCAGAATTTTTTTGAATATTAGGTATTGAAAACCAAAAGTTGGTAGAAAAGAACTACAAAATATTGTGATATTTTAAAGGCATTGGCACTGTCGGAAACAATTCATAATAATTTGAATATAGATTTTGTTTATTTGTCGGACGTGATATTTTATCTCAAGCCGATTTCATTTTGCACAATTACACACAAATGTACACTACATACTTAAATGTGCTAATACACATCTTTTCATTCATATGTAGAGAAAATTATACTTCCACCACAGAGCTAAGAATCAATATATTGCTTAAAAATTGTTGAAATAATATAACTGACATTTTATTCTGTATACATTGAAGATGGAAAAAATATAGAGACTCTTTGGTTTTTCAGTTTAGGATATCGTTACTACTTAAAAACCAACATATTGGAATCTTCACATTAGAGCACATTATTAACACACTTTAGCTAATAAAGATACAAAAATCAAAGTGACCTGAGTCATCGAGTTTGACATATCATAGGTGAAAAGAAAGAGTTGTGACATCTAGCTCTGGACCTGCCACTTGCCCTGGTAGATTAGGATTTCTTGACAAACCGTCCAGTATGTTCTCCATGGAACCGTGTGTGGTATGGGGCTTTTGTCATCTAGTTGCGAATGATCCAAGTAGTGAAGCTTTTCTGCTCCTGTGATGTTTTGTATAATCACCTATTAAGACAAGCTTCCTCTTAATAGTTTTCTTTTCCTTGATTCCATCTAATTACTAGTGCTTAGGCCCTCTTGAACAGCCCAAATAACCCTTTGACCCCATATTTATGTACCCTTCAAATTCTTAAAATGGCAGTTATGTCTCCTGTTCTTTTGTCATTTAAGCAAAGTTCTTGTGAGTTCTTCTGTGGGCTGCCTCAAAGTTGAGGAGGCTCAACTGCTTGCTAGTCATTTCCCCCAAAGGAAACATTTGAGGGAAACGATGGGAATGTGTCTAGTTGTTTACAACAGACAGTAATAGAAAGGAGCAAAAATGACAAATATCCTCTTACCTTTATGGAGACTTCAGTGGACATTTTAACTTAATTTTTTTCTTTCCCTGATTTCTTTGTAGTTGGCTGTATCTTATGTTGTAGCCTAACTAAAACATAAGCCGTTTTTCTCACAGACACAATATGATTGGATTTATCTTTGTCAGGAGACAGTCTATTATGGCCTTTATTTAATACAGTTTTAGATATCTTTCAGTGGCAGAAGCAAATTAATGTATATTTTTATTAGGTGTTGTATCTATTTAATTGACTGTCAAAGTGATGAGAAGTTAGGAAATCATCCAAAAGAGAGGTCCATCTCTCTTAGCTCAACAGCTCACATGTTAGGTAGGTTTGCCCTGTCAGTGGGATGCCTTTAGAAAACACTAATAGCTTCCAGCTGGGTGGAAAATCAAAACCTTTGGGGTCTGACAAAACTAGCAGATTTGAATTTGAAAGCAGAGCTAATGCCTCCATTTTATTTTTTACCACTTGCCCATAAAACATTATTTTCCAATATGTCAGCCTCATTTGGTGGTCAGTGGTCCGAAGTTGAGAGTGGAACAAGCAAGTGGAGAAATCTGGACATTAGTGAGTCCGCCCTTTCAAGCTGGTGTGCCACTTTGTGGAAGGGTGTCCTCTAAGAGCAGGGGGGGGGTCTTAATGACCATTCATCAATGCTCATTGGCTGATCGAGTGCCTTCTCATTCAGTTTATCAGGTCTTGCACATAAAAAGTCAGAACAAGCCTTATTCAGCTTTGTTAAAGGCAACTAGGAGTAAAATGCTCCCCTTGAACCCATTTTGCCCTTGTTTTTTTTTTTTTTTTTTTTTACTTTGTTAATGCAGCCCTCTTTAAATGAGTGCCTTTATTGGGTTGGTTAGAATATCTGAAACTATTAATTCTCTTGTTTTGAATAGCTGGTGGCAGGCCAGAGCAGATGGGATAGGAAAGTATTTGCTTGGGTGTATTGCTTTCAATTAGGATCAATGAGGTTTCAGCTCCTCTGAATTAACTCACTTAATACCCACTGTGTGAAGTCAAAGCCTGCTAGAAGCAGAGAGGAAAGTTGAGAAGATCTGTAGAAAAACTTTAACTCAAATTCTCCCTTCACCGGTGTAGAGAACTTTCATTAATTGCAGGTGATTTCAGTAGACTGCTAGTCTCTATTGGTGGATCAGGATTGAACAAAGGAAAAATTTTGTATGATAGACTTGCCTATTTTGGAAACAAGTGGAAAATACCTTGGAGTAATACGATATCATACCGTCTTTCTCTAGTGAATAATTTAAATTTATTGTCAAAAACCAATTTATGTATTTTGGGGGGATCTTGGCGTTGAGTTGACTAAATCTACCAATTTAGAAGGTGATTATTTAGATGACTCTTAACGAATTGCCTTAAAAATGCTCCGTGTTCTTAATTAAAAGATGTGCATTAACTGACATGGCTCTCCGGAGAAAGTACTTAATTGGTTGGCAATGTATTCTTTGTGATTGTTTTGAATATATTTTAATTTTTAAAAATATGTTTACTAATGGGGATGCAGGACAGTGTTTTTCACTGGAGAAAACTTGCAATATGTATTTTTTCTTCCATTCTCCTACATTAATGCATTTGTCATGTTATTGATTGTCTATATTTATTATACAATTTGGATGTTAGAGATCTTGGCACTTTTACCCTTTTTTATTCTTTTTTTAAAGGGAAAGTTATTTTGTGTAAGTAACTGTTTAGAACTATATATCTAGGTTTCCGTGTTCAGGGAGAACTGCCAAGTGGGGTTGTTGATTTGCTTGCTTCCACTGATGAAGAACAGGAGGAGGAAACTGGTTCCTTGAGAAAATGCTGAACTAGTCTCAGAAGCACATACATTCAGTTAGTCCCTTTCTGCAATCAGACTTCTAGGTGAGAATCTCCAGGGATCCGGGTTTTGTTGACATGGATCAATTTAAAGTGGCAATTACTGTAGTCAGATAACAGCTTAAAAAGCTTTTTTTACACATAGAAAAGATACATAATCACACAGCATATGGAAGTTCAATTTTCTGAGGTATGGTTTAGGGAGTTGCAGTGTACCGATATTAAGACTAGTTTTAAAACCAGATATCACCCAGCTTTCTTAAAGTATAATGCATTTTTGCCATATGATTTTTTATTTCAGAAGTGATTCACCGTGCATATTGATGAAAGGTTGGATTTCCCACTGTGAAAATGTTCCTTCTAACATAGGTAAAGTATTAAAAATATCATTGAGTGGCTTTAAAAAAAATCTTCTCTTTAAAAATGAAAATTTACAGATTTAGGATGCTGGATTCCATAAACGCTCTTATAGCAGGACTTAATTGATTATTACACTCATGCCTGTAATAAAGCTTTCTGTCATACGAATGTTTGAGCTTGGTGCTTAACTATCTATATACTGAAATCCATTACACAGAACCTCATTACAAGTGACATCTCACTAAGATGAACAAAAAGATTGGCTTCATAAATAGGATGCAGTATACTATTAGTGACAGAACAGAGTAATCATTATGAATTATGGTCTTTTTACAAGTTGTCTCTGACATTGATGGATTTTTGAGGGGATCACCAGATGAAACAGTGCTAGGGTGCAGTATTTGGGGGCTATAGAAATTCTTATTGATTGACGCTGTTTACCAAAGATGATTTATTTTTAGGTTGTGCAGGGTGTGTGTGCGTGCGTGGGCGTGCTTTGAAACAGGTTGTGTGCACTCTTGCGGAGAAGTGTGGGAAGGGTGAGTAGGTAGAAGTTAGAGTCACTGCCTGTGCTTTACATGGGTTTTTATGATTTCTTTGCGGCAGCAAGTAGGGGAAAAATCTATTTGATGAAGGCTAAAAGTATACGGAAAGTGTAGAATAAGAAGTGGAAGACTGTGAAGGGGTAGCAACAGTTAAAGGGGATGCTCCTGTCTGTCATATTCTTTGAGCTTACAGGCTGGTCAGAGACTCCTGAGTAGAATTGTTTCTTTGTTTATTGTGGGTCGAAGGTACATTGGGAAGGTAAAGCCTGAGGCATCTGTTTCATCATGTGCCCTGTTGTTAAAACAAATGCACACAGACCTGGAAAGATTTGCAAGTGTTAAAACGTCAGGGAGAGTTTTAGACAAGAACAGCATTTTCCTTTTGCCTGGCATTTTTGTGTTTAGAAAAGGCATGCGAGGCAGACAGGCATATGTTTCTCCTATGAGGCAAGAATGTTTTATAAAGGACTAAAGAGGGACTGCTGAGAGGAAAATAGCCAGCTTTAGATAAAGCACTATAACAAAGGCTTGTAGTTTTATATATCATGGTGTCCATTAAAGCTTAATAGGGAAGAGTCCATCGAACCAGGTCGGGTATGTGTTATTCATGGGAAGGATAAACATTTAAGGGTGTGCAAAAACTCAGAAATCAGGAGGACATGATTGCTCAGCTTTTGAAAAGACTTTACAGTGAAGATTTTGTTTTCATCTCCCATGGATCTCTATGCAAGGCAGAGGAAAGTAAGCTGAAAATGTTTGGAGCCTATCAACTCGGGAATCCCAGGGGGTTAAAAGCAGTCTAGTAAAATAAAAGTGGCCTGCTTCTGCGTTTAAAGTGTTCTATTTTACACATACTACTGAGATGCTGACAAAAGGAATGATTCTGATACTTTGTTCAGTATGATGAACTGGCACAATATACAAAGTTTTATACAAATGATTTTATACTGTTTCGGATTTCCAGTTCAATAAACAAGCTTTGAGGTTTGTGCCTGTTTGTTTTTTTAATAGAGTTCCCTTTTATGAGAAAATGAAGGGAAGCCTTTCATTTCGAGCAGTGGTAGGGGGCCAGGTCTACTTTCCATTCTTTTGGCAAAATAAGGGTTAATTTGTAACTGGATGGGAGGGGGTGGTGAATGAATTATTCAGCAAATAGCTTATCATTCTGCTTTTTACTTTCTGTTCTTTGGTGCTCTGGAACTTGCAGAGAGAGGTAGAGTGGGTAAGGGGAGGCCGAGGCTGTGATACTTTGCATACACATCCCTGTCATTGTTCTGCCTGAAGAGACAGGGCTGGGTTCAAGGCCACATGTGCTCCTGTCATCATCCACATTTCTGCTCCAAGTGCAATCCGGAGTGTCAGCTCTCCATCTGTCTCTGCCTGGCAGGCGCACGCGCCCAGCACCCTGCCTCGGGCTATGCCGTCCCAGTCCCTTCTCACGGCTCTCCTCTCTCTGCTGCGCTCATTCCAGAACAGGAGGCATGAGCTCTGATTGCGCCGGCTTTTAGGAGACAGCCACTTTTCTGTGTGGACCCTGCATTCAAGGATGCCTGGTGAGTTACCCTGCTCTACTTTCTCTCTCTGATTTTGACAAGAAGAAAGCTTACTTTTTATTAGACACGGAAAATACCTCCTACCCCATGGCATGCTATACTTTATGTGGGTAGGCAGAGGCTGGGAGTGACAGAGGTGATGTGTGGAAGGTGGCATAAAGAAAGCCATCAAGATCTAAATGCACGGGTACAGGGTGTGGAGCCCTTCCTTTTAAAATTTTGGAGGTGTGTGTTTTAAAAGCTGAGGGAAAACTAGCCATGTATGTTTGCCAGAGCAGTTTACTTGAGGGACTTAACTCACGTAAGAAGTATTGTTTCTGTTCTGGATTTCGTGGCTGTCATCTGTACCTTGTATCCTAGAAATTTCATCTGTGGAGAGTTTTCAGATTATGGCGGGATCCTGGAATAAGGTCTCTTTAAAAAGCTCTTTATGTCAGAGAAAGTGAAGAAAGCTTTGGAACTGAAAATAATACCAGTCTTGCCCTAAATCACAGTCTGTAGATGTCATCAGGCAAATAACTGAAATCAGTTCATTAAAAATACAAAGTCTGCTGAATTACCGAAGCTGTTGTGGTTCTGGAAATTTAGTGCATGTCAGTTTCCTCTGAAAAATATTATCTTTGAAGCCCAGAATGTTCCTGTGATCTTGCCAGGGAAGGCTCTGCTTATGGAGAAAGAAGCCTGACTGGGGGAAAGGGTCGTTTCTGCTATTCTCAAGAACTTTCTGGGTTACCCTGTGCTTGCTTTGAGCAGTCTCTCTCCAGATAAAAAAGACATGGCAGATAGAGATCCTCCAGCTGGCTGAATCGTGCGTATTATTTGGGTAGGACAGGGAGAAGAGGCTGTGCTTGGTCACAGAGTTTGTACACCTCACAGATGGTGTTTTGAAACATTATCTGCCGGTTTTCTGCAACTACAGTTGTGTGTAGGTATTGCCAGTTGTTTGAAGAATGTTTTCCCTTCAGAATGTGTCTTTTAGTCCACATTGTCATTGACACATGTGCGGAAAGGATGCATTTGTGACTGAACCGCACTTTTTCATTAGTTTGGTAGATGAGGATTGTATGTAGATGAAATACGGGGAAAATCAATTTACAAAAAGATAGTGACCAAGGTTTTTGGAAGGTCACTTTAACTTTTGAAGCTCTCATCTTTATTTATATGCACATGCACCTAAAAATGTAATGTGCATTGAGTGTGTGTTAGGGAATCAGTGTGAAAAAGTGCTCCTGTTTTTCATTTCGCCAGAATATTGTAGCAGTTTCATCTCATTTTTATGTATCTTAATTTGAACCTTTGTTTTTATGCTCTTAATAAATATGTGTTAAATGATCTGGTTTATCAGCATTTTAGAGTCTGTATTTCGTTTTGCTAAAACTAAACCCATAATAAACCTAAGCCACTTATGAATGATAATAGGAGAAAGAGATTAGTTATGACCCTAGCAACCCCTAACTAATTACATGATTTTAAATTAATCTTCAAAGCATTCGTATTTAAAATACATTGAACTATGTTTAAGGTTTTAGAATCATTGGTAAGTTTGTTTTTTTTCTGTTAACTCATTAATATCTGATGGGTTCTAAAGCAGTAACACAAAGTGTGGGCAGTGTTTGTCTCTCTCTCCCTCTCATCCCCTCCCCCTCTCTCTTTTCCCTCAACTGTGTTAGAAAACCTTGTATTTCAATGCAGAGAATATATTAACAGCTGTGACTATGAGCATGTGCTAGAATGAAGATACTTGAGCAGATCTAACACTTGGCTATTTTTGAGACTCATCTGTACTTTTTAAACTCCGCTGTTGGATGGACTACCTCTTAATATGTTTTTAGCATATTTAATCCATACATATGTACTTATATTAATGGACAATTTTAACTATTTGGGGCAGAGTTTATATTTTTAAATAAAACATTATGTGTATAAGAGTAAAAAGATATGTTTCAGGTAATCTGATATTGTCACTTTTTTATTTGGCTACATATTTGTATATCATTTATTATTATTATTATTATTATTATTAGTCATCACATGTCAGAACAGGTTCCTGATTGTATCAAACTTGAATGAACAATTATCAGATTTGGGACCCTTTTTCATAAAAATGAGGATCCCTGGAAATATATACACAAACTGAATTTATTCAAAGACATACCTATCTGCGTGGATGAGTAGGTACAAAAGTCTTTAGTTTAAAGGTTTCTAGAACTATTTCAGTTAAAAAGAAACATGCTAGTTGTTGATAGCATACAGTTACAAACGAACTATGAAAAGTCAAAGGAGGTCACGCATGCTTTAAAGAAATAGGTTAAATAATTTTTATGATTTAACTCAATATAAGGAAATATCATTTCACTGCTTGTCACTTTGTAACAACTAGATCCTTGTGTTTAAGAAAAGGACAGTTTTCTTATGAGAAGGCTAGGAGACCTTGGGCATTGTGTTGTTTCAGGAGGAGATGACTCCAAGCTTTCTGAAACATTTATATTTTTATCAATCTTTGTATAATATTATCAAAGAACATATGTTGACCTACAAAATGCTTTCCGAACTGTTTCCTTAAAAGGACAGTCCGTGTAGCCCAGAAATAGTGCTGTTCTTTCAGAAGATGGCTAGTGTTAGGTCAGACCACCCTTTCTCAATGGTCCTGTTCTCCAGATGTGCATGGAACTTTTTTTTAAGTTCAAGTTTCAAAAAAAAAAAATGGTTTGTTTTCAAAATCTGGTTTTACTTAAGACATCTCCATCCTGGAGTGCATTTCATAAATTGCCCACATATTTTTCTTAGCAGAGAACTTAACTGGCTGTAATTTTTAACACATGGCCACATCATGTGATATTTTCAAAACACTTACACATAGCTTTAAGAAGGTCCCTGAAGAAATGATCCATCCTCTCACAGCCAGCCTGTTTTTTAACAGCATATCTGCATTTTCCATTTAGTAGAGCTATATATTATTAGCTTACATTTTTGGGTAGTAAAACAGTGCATTGCTGATTGTAAAACATGGACTTTATTATCTGCTGAAAATTGATTTGGCATTTATAGCCACTGTGTACTAGACTGTTTTTCTGTTTTTAACATCAGTGCTTGCAAGCGATGATTTGTGTAAAAAACAGCAATGAAATTGCCATGGACAGACAATTGTTAGTGTCCCTAGTAACTGAACATTTAGATAATGCACCTGGTAATTTTTTAAAAAATAGATGCATCTAAATGCTCTTATACGAGAACAAAAAAACACAATAGTGCATTCACTGTCACTCTGTTTTACCTTGCAAGTTGGTTTGCCAATGTGTTAGGTTCTTTGTTGTAGCGAACAAACCTCCTGCCAGCTATTATAAGAATACTATATAAGCTGCAAATATCCAATTATAAATGTAGATTGTGTAGGCATTTGTAGGTTACTTCTTCCTAGCAGACATTTAGAATTTCTAACTTCTTTCCAAGCCCTGGCACCTTTTCCCTTTTTCTTTTTAAATTATTTTCTGTTAATATTTCTGAGTACTTGATCTCTTTCACATGGCATCTTTCTGTGTAGTTAATGATCTATTGAAAAGGTAAGTGTTTAATCTTTTTTTGGGGGGTGGGGGGTGATCATTTGTGAAGACAACTAGTTTATTTTTATTTCTTAGAGTAAACATTCACTTAGTGAGCATTATATTGTGTAGAAATGTTTATTAGTCATCTCATCACTGATATTTGATGCTTACAAAGAAGGTGCTGTAATTATAATATTTAGAATAGCCTTTTGAATCATAAGAGGGGCAAATACATTTTAGAGCTGGAAGGTTGATCTTGCAAGCACGTTCATTTTACAAGATGTTGAAACCGAAGCTCTTAGAAGTTTAGCAACTTGCTCAGGTGGTTTATTAAAGTGAGAAGTTTTTCTCAGTTCACCCTCTTTACCATGATCCTTCCAAATCTCATATACACATTAAGTCACATTACCATATTAATGTCAGTCTTACTTTGTTGTCTTTTATATTCCACCCAGAATTGCTTTTACAATATGCTTTTTCTCCTTCTCCAGGACTGCAGAGCTATTTAGGAGAAAAATTCAGTAACAGTAATCATTTAGCCTGTGGCAAAGGTGTGCCGACAAATTTATCTTATAATTGTTTTGAAATTAGGGAGCCTCAATGAAGTTAATTACCGGAGTGTTAAATAGATCAAATAATGTAAAACTATGACAACTGAAAGGTTACTGTAATAAGGAAATTCAGGTACTAGAGTAGACATTAGGTTGCTGAAAATGGGCGAAGGACCAGATAACTGTGATTTAGTCAGTCTTTCCAGGCCCTCAAAGGGTTCTGAGTTCTATTGCTTTAGGCAGAGAAGTAATATTATGCCGTAATTATTATACAGAGTAATAGGAGCCTGAGCCTGGAGACAGGTAAAGGAACCCAGAGGTGAGGTAGTATCTAACTGGATGAGGAATTGAGGACATATGGGGAAGGGTAGACCAATCTAATGCTTATTAGAAAGTCTTGCCTAGCACCTGCTTGCTCCAGATTGGCTCTCTGATAATGTAACAACATTTTTTAGTTTGTTGTTCTTATACTGAGGGCAGGACATTCATTTGTTTATTAAATTTTCATTTGTGTGACAGTGGGTATAGTTTTATCAAAAGCAATTTCTTTGTGTACAGTGCAGTTCTTTGGTAGCTAACTATATCTAATGAAATAAGTCATTAACTGAAATGACTCACAAATTGAGAACAATAGGATTTCACACCTGACCAAGAAGTAGGTTTATCTGGCTAGCTTTCTCAAACAGCTGTTTGCATTAATTAATATTAATGTAAATGTACTTTCTGAGAATGTCTAGTTTAATTATGTTTTTCAACCCATAAGAGTTTCAAGCAGAGGAATCAGGAGGTCCTCTTAATCTCAAAGGGAATATATAACTGTCATTTAGGAACAGAATAAATCTCTGATAGTATAGTTAGAGCAGCCTTTAATTGAAACCCTGTATATGGCAGGCCCTGGGCTAGGCAC